AGAAGAAAGTTATTCCTTTGGTGCCGAGTAGTGGACATTTTGTGGAAGCACAAGCTGAAATGTTCTTTCATGCCTTCTGCAACCACACACTTTCGCAACTCTTTCTTCAAAGCCGGCTGAGATACCTGCTGAATTGGGCTCTGGGCCTGAAAGAGGATACGCCTGCCAAGGAGTTCGGCGAAAATGCAGCCCACGGACCAAATGTCAATTGGACGTCCGTAATGCCTGCTGCCCATCAGGATTTCAGGGGCCCGGTAATATTGAGTAACCACCTCTTGAGTCATGTGCTGGGACTCATCTGGCTCCTCTACCCGGGCCAAACCAAAATCACAGATCTGAAGGAAAGATGAAAAGGTGTGGTCAACCTGAGGAAGCTTCTAAGAAATAAAACTTCCAGACTTATTTTTCTCCATTATTTGCTGCTCCTTCTGGGAATCAATATTCTTTCAATGCCACTGAATGATATTAATTCAGGTGCATTCTAAAATGGGAGCTGGATGGATGCTTCCTAACCCTGGCAACTTTAAGAGGTGTGGACTTCAACTCCCAGAATTCTCTGGCCAGCATTAGGGAACCTCACAAGGCTTGTAAGAACCCTGCTGGGGGAGAGGGGGGAGAAAGGCCTGTGGGCCCCAGTAGTGGTGAGGGAAGCAGGCCCAAGGCCTACGGGGACATCAAGGGGCAGGAAGCAGATCAGAGGATGGGGGAGGCCCTACGAGTCTGGGGCAGATGGGCCTGGGCCTGCACTAGGTTTCCCAAGTTATCCCCCACCCGAGGCATCCAGTGCTCCACTTAACGACTACATGAAGGGCGGCAGAGATGGGATCGTTAAGCAAGATCACATGGTTGCCTCACTTAAATGACCATCACAACTTATGACCGTAATGGGCAGATGCCATTACAGTCATAGTTCGCGAACTACCTGTACACAAATAAAGGTTTCTATGTCTCAAATTCAAGTACACTGCATTAAATTAAATACAATTCATTTGATCACTTCTTGCATGGTTAATTTTTTTTTCTTTTGTCACATCAAAAATAGCAATTTTCTGGCTGTGACTATATCAGCTGCAAGACTATGAGACAGAGAATTATTGAAGATATGTATGTGTTAAAATCTACAGCATGGTGGGCACCGTGTCACCACTGATAGCTTTGGGTACAATGGCGTACGTGACATCTTATAGATTTGTCACAACCATACACATATTTATACACCCAACATCCTTATTCTTAGCGTAGTATGATTCACAGTGATTGGAGTGGGAGGGTGGGTGAGAACATTTAATCTTTGGCCATAATAGCTAAAAATGCTGGACGTGACAGTCTCCCCGGAGGTGGCTATCTTGAAAACTGCCTGGGTTGGCTACAAGGATGAATTACCTTGAGGACACAGTTGCTGTTGACCAGCAAATTCCCAGGCTTGATGTCCCGATGAAGGACACCAGCAGAGTGCAAATATTTTAGCCCTGGAGAAGTAAGGCGAAAGAAAAAAATACATTGAGTGTTCCCAAACTTAACTGGAGTTAACAGATGCAATAAAAATTAAAACTAAAATTAAACTCATTATCAACATAGTTTTCAAAATTAAAACTTTTATGTAAGTTCTGAGCCTTGAAAACCCATCTATTCCATGCGGCCGGCCTGGCGTAGTTTTGATTGGGCTTTGCTAGGGGTTTTATATGGGGTATTTTAGAGCAGGCTTTTTATTCAATATTTATTGTGATTTTTATTATTGCCTGTTAACCGCCCTGAGTCCCGTAAGGGAGATAGGGCAGTATATAAATTTAAATAATAAATAAATAAATAAAATACTGCCGAAGTGCTGAGCCTAGTGTTGAGTTTGACTCCAAATATATTTTACTTAACATTAAATAACTAAGAAAATTTAAAAAAGGGACACTCATTATCTCTTCTAAGAAAATAGCCTCTTAAGTCGCACATATGCATGATTCTTAAATCCTGAAAAGAAACTCCTTGCTTCAGAGCTGTTGCTTCCAATTCTGTTACAACAGTGAATTCAAATGATCAATTTTCTCAGATGTATTTTATGGAATTGCAACTGTGCAAGGATCGTCAGAAAAGAAGGGAAGGGGAGGAACTATTAAAATAAATGACTTGCAACAGGACATACTTAGGAAGGACGGGAGCAAAGGAAAGGAGCAGGAGAAAAGGGCAAAAGAAATCTGGTAATATTGGAGGACCTATGGAAGAGACCCTTCAAGAGGGATAACAGAAATACAACTTGTCTGGTCATCTCATTGAACCCCTGCTGGATCTCCGCCCCCATGGCTCTCTATCCCAATTCAAAAACATGCACAAGGAAGATCTCAATACTTCTCCAACCCCTCTACTGTCAAAGCATTAGACAGATAGCAACCCATCAATGAATTGTACCTTCTTCTTCATGGGACCTGAAGGCCCTGAGATCCAGTCTTCCCTTGGAGACAATGTAAAATACCCTTTACTCTCTTTGATTCTTCATCCTTATCTTTTCTACTTCTGATTATTCTCACCCTCGCTTCTCGTCCCCTTCAATTAATCCTAGTCTTGACTAAATTCTGGCACCCACAACTTTGATCACCAGTGGAGTTATGGAATCTTGTAACTTGGAATTGAGGATTCTACAACTGCAGGCTATGCATACGATTTAGAAGCTAACCAGCTTGTATAATGTGAGATGAATGATGCAATGTTAGGAATGACTCAGCAGGAGTCTGTATCCCTTTAAGAGCTTGAGTATAAAAGGGAAGGCCTTGCTGGAGTCTTTCTCTCTTAATTGCTGTATATTGGAGTTTGCTGAATTATCAAGATGTATAAGTATTTTGTTTCTAGTGTATATTTGTAGATAGTGTAATATAAACCACCATTTAATACAAACCACTGTTTACTGTATTTACTCCTTGGTTACCTCAGCGCAATAAGACTGTGCATGCTCTGACAGCATAGCATCAGCCAACTCTGTATAGACATTGTCCTACTTGTTCACATTCTTCTCCTGAATGATTACAATCCTTGTCATGTTATACGGCTGCCAAGCCAGACAGCTCTACATTCGCACTGAATCTAAATAAAGAACTTTGCCCAAATGGACAGAGTTCCCAATTTATGGCATTTCCAAGTCAGACTTACCCCTGAGGATCTGATACAAAAAGACCTTGATATGATCAGAGCTGAGTGGTTGCGGAGAAACTATGACTTTGTGAAGGTCACTTTGCATCAATTCAGTGATAACATAACTGATGGTCATTGTCAAGGAGGGTGATGGGGAATGGAACAGAGAACGGAGGTTATCTGAATACCCAGCTCTTCCCATTGGAAGCAAAAACAAAAATTACTTTCCCACCATTTTGTAAAACCAACAAGCTCTAACACAATGGTTCTCAACCTTTTTAATGCCGCGACCCCCAACCGGTCGTAAGTTGAGGACTAAACCGGTCGTAAGTCGAGGACTAAACCGGTCGTAAGTCGAGGACTAAACTGGTCGTAAGTCGAGGACTACCCAACCGGTCGTAAGTCAAGGACTTCCCTGCCTGGGAGCGCCGCACATGCGTGGTTCCGCCCCCTGCGCCGGCCGAGGCATAGCTGGCAAGCGGCAGAGACGGAGCAGGCCGACCACCAGCTGGCCCAGCCCAAGGGAGGTAAGGCACCCGCCGGAAAAGGGGGAAAAAAATGGTGGACAAAAAAAAATGGTGGACAAAAAAAATGGCGGACAGTCTTGCTTGGCAACCCCCGTGAAATGGTCGATCGACCCCAAATGGGGTCGCGACCCATAGGTTGAGAACCGCTGCTCTAACAGAATAAGGAGGCACAAATACCAAACAGCAGAACAAAGTGAGATAAAATAAAATAAGAAAATATAGAAAGAAAACTGTTATACAGATCAGCCATCGCTAACCTGATACTCTGCATATAGGCTGGAATGCCAACTCATATCAATTTTGGAGGACACAAAACTAAGGAAAGACTGGCATAAATCAAAAGGAACTAAAGAACCTCAAAAGCATCTCCAGTGCAGAACTGAGACACAAAATGTGTGTGAGACTAGACTAACCTAACTACTAAGACATTTTAAAAATCAGTACGGAAACTCTTATCTTAATTGCAAGGAAAATAAAAGAAGACAAAAGTGCAGATAAAATAAGCAAAAGCAATCTTCTCTAGTATTTTATACTACTGCACAATCTCAAAAGGAGGTACTTCCTGCCCACAAATGCCACTCAAATTTCATGCAATTTTGACAATCTCACCACAGACTCTAATGGGGGATTATGAAAAGGTTAGAATATTTTTAACAAAAAAACAACAACAACTGAGCATCAATATATGAGGCCATGGCTTCTGTGAATATTGATGATTGTAGGCTGCCCAGAGTTACTTGTTAATGAGATGGGCAGCATATAAATTAAATAAACAAATTTAATAAATACATATTAATTATACAATTACTAGCTAAAATTGTGTTGTTGACCTCTGAGGTTAAAAGAATAGTATCATAATTTTCAGTAATAAAGTGCTTGCTAGCTATAGCTAGGTATTTATCACTAAAAGTTATGATTCTATTCTTTTAAGGCAGGGATCCCCCACCCCTGGGCCACAGCCCACTATAGGGCTGCGGCCTCTTTGAAACCAGGCCGTGCGAGCGATGGGCAAGCATGTGTGCATGCAAAGCTCCACTCGCATGAGAGACGCAAATGGAATTTCACGTGTTAGCACAAGCACTCTCCACTCAAGCACCCTTCGCTCCATTCATGTGGAGGGCGTGTGCACCCACTGCTCACACCAATGAAGCTGTGCGCGCGCAGGCGCCTGGCACTCACATGCTCCCCCCCCCATGCCAGGCTAGGCCGCCAAAGTGGAAAGGTTGGTGAGCACTATGAAGCTGGAAGAAAACATAACATGTAAGATATGACAGCCCTATCTAGGTGCTGCTGCAACATTTACGCATGAAGAGATGAAGTAGGAACAATCAGACCTGATGGTCTTTTCAACTTGCAAACAGAGCTCGGTGGCCTCTGAGCAAACAAATAACAAAATTCAGACAGCACCAAGGACTCCACAGTCAGACCATCCCTGACCATCCATTCTCATTACTCTTCATATATAGAAAGCCATGGTCTCCGTCAAGGATCTCAGACCTCAATCTCTAGCATGGTATCCAGACCCCACAAACCTCAATGGCCACCAGGTTCCATGCCCTCCTCATATTCCATTAGATTCATGTACTTACTGTCCAAAGAAGTTAAATGGGAAGCTAGCAGGTCCAGAATAAAGTCCTACCACCATTTCTAAGAAAGCCTCTGGGTCAGACCCCAAGGAACTCATAAAAGTAGAGGAAGCTGTCAATCAAATGCTGTCCAGAAACAACTGAGGAACTTAGACTGGTATGAAACTTCTTAGGAGTGTTGAAGGAATGATGGGAGAGCAGCTTCATCAGGTTGCCATTAGGTAAATAAGGACCATTTATGCCAACTATAAGAGACTTAAAATAGCAACTGTACCTATTGGTGTCCAAAGGCTGTGAACATCTTGCTTAGGAGACTGAGCATTTAGATTTCCTAGCATTCTCAAGTTCAGAGAGAATCTATCGGAAATACCATGCTGCAGTTGACTTCAAAACCCAAAGACTGGAGCAAAGCTAGTGAATCATTCAATCATCTTCAGGTAAATAAACATACAAATTGGGGCAAGAGGGAGGGGATTTCACATAAACTTGGATCATCTGAAAATAGCCGACACAGGCTGAAAAACTTGGCAAGGAACAGTGGCAAGGACAACCTCAAAGAACTAGAAAACATTTGCATGAGAATATAAGGGGGGGATCCAAAGCAGTACTGTAAATGAAGGAAATAAAAAAATATGTGAGACGTAAAAGAGAAAAATCAAAAGAAATACAACATAAGGATACTGCAAAAAAAAAAAGAATCAAATCAAACTTAAGAAAAGCAAGAACAATCAATAAATATTTCACTTCCTCTTCTCACATGTAGCATGTATAAAGGGGGGAAAAGCAACAAAAGATAACGGTAGCACCAAATGGAGCATGGGAACAGTAGGGAAAATGAGGAAATAACTTAGCTACAGGTGGAATGAAGGATACATTTCCTCAAAACAGTCAATCTGTGGAGGTTGGAGGATATCCAGTGCTGAGAGGACCTAAGAAGAAGAAAAAAAGACATTTTTTTAAATCTGAAATAGGGTCTCCTGCTTGAGCAGACGGTTGGACTAGAAGACTTCCAAGGTCCCTTCCAACTTTGTTATTCTGTTAAAATCTGAAAATATCCCATCACAGACAGAAAGGATGAAACCAGTGATGGAACCCAACATCTGTACTATAATCTGGTGTTTTGGCATGACAGGCCTATCAAGCTTAATGTACCACCCGCCCCCTCCTAGTAATAAATATAGGACAACAGCAACTAATAATGTACCTACTCGGAAACAGGACTGAAACTTAGCTGGTAAGAGCGGCCTGCACAGTTTGTCTAATAATAGGGTCAGCTCTGCCACCCACACCTGCAATGACTTGGTCACCATCCAAGCATCCTATGCTGGCTGAGGAATTCTGGGAGCTGAAGTCTACAAGTCTTAAGTTGTCAAGGTTGCAGACCCCTGCTATACACCATCAATTTGTGCCCATCTCTTCCAATCTTCCAGCTTTGTCCCTGAGGTGAAATGGCCCTTCGCCAGCTTCTTTGTGCCAAGGAGCAAGGCCTACCACTGACCCTGGCCTACCATCAGAGGCCATCTCCTCCTTCCACTGCTTCTCAATGAATTATATTACTCTTGTCTGCAAGAAAACAACCAAGCTCAGAAAGCACCAAGGACCCCACAATTTTGAAACTGCCCATTTCCCTCACAGAGAGACACTGGGCAGTGTACAAATTATTAGAACATAAAAACAGTAAATAAAAGAAAATTTTAAAAAAGATCAGAATGATTGAAAATCAATATACACCTACACCTTTCTACAATGCACATTCCTAAATCTGGGGAAACTTAACCCAAACCCAGGGTGCCATAGAAGGACCACATTTGTCCCAGAAGTGGCTCTGCAAACTGATCCACACTCACATTGTCATGTTTGAAGTAACAGAGCATTCTCAATTCTCTGAAGACCCGTTTGCAAGAGACCAAGTTCTGGAAAACATTGGGCATCTTTTTGAGTGCAACTCGTGACCCATCCCGAGGGTCTGTCACAGACCTGCAGGAAGAAGAAAAATGTCCTTCCATTTACATTTTGACAATAAGAAAGGGTAGACCACAGCAAGGAGGCAATTACACTGTAATTTTAGAGAGAGAGGGCAAAAGATGAAAATACATTTTAAGATCTGCTCTTAAGATTGGAAAACATTTCTTTATATTTTTTTTCCCATTTTTTTTTCTATTTCCTTTCTTACAATTCACTATTTTTCTCTATTTCTTTTCTAAATTCTGTACTGCTTTTTATCCTAAAAATTTCTTTAATAAAAATTATTTTTAAACAGGTAGTCCTCGATTTAGAACCACCTATTTAGGGACCGTTCAATGTTACAAGTGTACAAAGTTACTTATGACCCATCCTCAGACTTTAGGAGTGTTGCACCATCCCCGCAATCATGTGATCAAACTTCCGGCCCTTGGCAACCATTTTGTATTTACAATGGTTGCTGTGTCCCAGGGTCATGTGATCATCCTATGCAACTTTCCCGGCTGACTTCCGATAAACAGAGTCAATGCGGGGAACCAGATTTGCTTAACAACTGCATGATTCACATAACAACTGCAGTGATTCACTTAACAACCAGGGCAAAAAAGCTTGTGAAATCGGGTGCTTAGCAATGGAAATTCTAGTCTGAATTGTAATCATAACTATCAATCCTTTCCTGCCTCTATTACTTTCATCCTTCTCTACTATCATACAGCAGTAAATAACTCCTCACTCACCATACCACACCAAAAGCACCATAACCGATGGGTCGATCTGGTTCTGGGTCCACCATCATCGCATTGCCAAGCGTTGTCTGCTGTTGCTGGGGGGGAGCTATCTGTACCCCATTATTGCAATAATATTTCTGCCCCCCACCTAGCCCAGCAGCTAAAGGTGGCTGGATTAACCCCGTCAATGCCCCAAAAACATTGCTACAAAGCTGAGCTTGAAGCGGATGGTTAGGGTCTTGGAAAGCCATCAGACAAATTAGGACAGAGGTGTGTGAGAGACACTGATTTTGGACACGAAGATTGGGAGAGGCGCAAAACAGCCCTCTGGAATTGAAATCAATTGTGGTTTGCAAAAAGGAGGTTTGGGGAATATTGAGCAGAAAATACCTGGCTTATTAGGGCAAATCTCACAAGCAAAATAAATGCATGCAAAATTGTGCGCTCCAGCAGAGGAGTGTTTTTATACAAGTAGTATTTTTTCTCCTTAAGGTTTAAAAAAATCTTTAAAGAGGTATCTTGGCTTATTTTAAATTTAAAATGATTATTACAATAAAAGGTAAATTATATTCTGGGACAGTTTGATATGTTTCAGGGACTGTATTCACCCTGGCTGAAAGTGGGGGGCGACACAGCAACTGATGAAAATCAGTTCTCTAACCAAATCTCTGATGTGGGGGACATCAGGGAAGATTTCTAAGAAGGTGCGTTTTCTCCAGAATGCACAGAAAAATTTGGAATATTGTACTTACATTAAACATAAAAGGGGAGAATGATTAAGAATAGACGTAAAGCCTTGACAATCTATAGGAAAAGAGCAGAAATGTTGTATAACATTTTTCTCTTAATAGGTGAGCTTTGTGAAACCACAAGACATTTAAACAGGATTTCTGGGATTACGTTAATTTTAAAAAATATTGAACAGAGCACTGAGGTTTTATCTCACCATATAACCAAGATGATGGATATCCTGGGCTGTACTGAAATATCAAGAGGCCTAAAAAAAAATTGGGGAATCTTATCCACAAGTTAGGAAATACAAGCTATGCAAGGGAGGCACTCTCTAGATTAGAGCAAGAGAAATGGAAGTAAGTTTGGGAAGAGCACTTCACGAATTGGAGAATGAGGTCTATTGCCTTTCTAGTGAGGTGTGAAAATGCTGGGGTATTCCCAGCAAAATATTAGAAGGGGGTTCGGTGACCCGAAACGCCCAAAATTGCGAAAATATCCCCTTCCAACAGAATGGAAAACCTCAAATGAGGATGTGGTATAACTATAACAGAACAGCTGCCATCCGAATCAACCTTAACTCACGTGTGCACTTTGGGGAAAGTTTCTCAACAATCAAAAGGGGGGAGGGGCAGACCCAATAAAAAGGGGGTGCAGAGAAAGCAGCTCTCTTGGCAACCAGCCCTGTTAGGCTTCAGGAATATGTGATTAAATCTGGAGGTATCAAAGAACCACCACCCCCTTACCTCTGCGCAACAAGAGGGGCAACAGAAAGATGCCCGGATAAGTGCGGAAGTAAAGTTTAGAGGTTTAGGATCTGCAAGGTGTGAGGGGGGGGGGAGGAATAAACAGGGTGCAAAGGGAGGCCTAAGGGAGGCTTGCCTTGAAAACGGCAAGCGAGGCAAGGCAGAACTTGGGGTGCTCTCAACTTTTCTTCCCCGACAGGGAAAGGGATTCAATCCTCAGCCCAAGACGGGTCCTAGCGACGGGCCAGTGGGGGGGAAGGTGGGGGCGCCCATGCTGCGGAAGGGGGTCCTTCCCCCACCCGCCCCCCCGGGTGGGCTTCGCAGCGTCTCAGCAAGGCATGGGGGCGGAGGGGGGGCGCTGCGGTCGGAGACAAAAGGGGTTCCCCGGGATGCAGACGCGCCAAGCACCCCACTTCCCCGGCAGACCAGCAAACCCCGGGCGAGCAGGAGCTGGAAGAGGAGCAGGAGCGGCGGCCGAGGCGGCGGCAGTGGCGCAAGCTGGGCGGGCGGGGTGCCTGGCGGGGTCTTTGTTAGAGGCGCCGGGGGTCCATCTTTACGGGGCCGGAGGAAGGAAGGAAGGCAGGAAGGCAGGAACCAGGCAGGAAGGAAAAGGCAAGCTGCGTGCGAGGAGGCCAGCGACGCCGGCGGACCCCATCTACTGGCCGCGGGGAGAGAGGCAGGCGGGCGGGCGATGGGTTGCGGGGAGCGGGCGGGAGGAAGCCAGCCTGGGGCGCCGAGGGATTAAAACGGCTCGGAAAGGAAAAGCCCGGCTGCTTTGCAGAAGCCACGTGGCTAAACAACACGTAGGTTTTCTAACTGGAAAGCCTTTGCCTCGTCTGGATTTGGGGTTGAAAATGTGTGTGGGGAGAGAGAGAGGGGGGGATCACAATTTCTAGATTTGAGGATGGGGAAAAAAGGATGGAATGGGGGGCTGGATTTTTTGCAACACTTAAGGGAGGGAGGAAGGGCAAAGTGTTCGCTGATCACTGTTGAAAAGAAGGTCGGGAGCCCAGTAACTTGTTTTCTTTTTTTCTGAGGAGTATTTAATAATCTTTATTTATTTAATCTTTAATAATCTTTAATAATCGTTAGTCTTTGTCTCCCTCCTTTGTTTGCCTGTTTTGCTTCCTGCACTTGCCCTTATTCTTTTCCTTTTGTGAGGAATAAAAATTCAACTCCAAGGGTGTTGGAAAACGAAACAAGTTTTATTGAAACATTTGCAAAGGCTGGTGGATCTCTTGGTAATTGCAAATCCCAGAGACCACACTTGAATCAGTTTCAGCATAAACTTTTATATCTTGTCCCGTACGTAGACTATGCCACATCCTTCTTTTCCAGACCCAGTTGATAGGTCCAGTCTGGTCACATGCTTTCCTACTGCCTAGCAACCAGACCCTCCAATTATTAGATCAAAAGCCCCTTTTGTTTCTGTCTTATCTCTCCTTCCTTGTCTGTGGCATGATTTGTAACATCCTGCTAACTCAGGGTGTAGTTTATCTACAAGGTGAACCTGTCTACCTAAACTGAATAATTGCAATTAAAAAGGATTTATATATTCCCTTGTTTATCTGGACAGCCATTTGTCTGGAATGGTATAGGATTTCCTGCCTGAGCAGGGGGTTGGACTAGATGACCTCCAAGGTCCCTTCCAACATTATTGTTGTTGTTGTTGTTGTTGTTGTTATTATTATTATTATTATTATTATTATGATTATGGATCATCGCACAGTCAGCCAGATGTTCAGACTGGATTTGGCATTTTGTCTACCTATTGAGTCCTTACCAAGGACCTGGGATAGGCAGATGTGGATGTTTGATGGTATTACAGATATCGTCACAGGATGGAAGCAGTTCCTAGTAAGGCCGTCTTTTGCAATTGACTAATGGCGAATTTGTCAATGCCAATGGTGTCCAAGTGGTGCTCCAGATGTTTTGGGATTGCACCCAAGGTGCCTATTACTATTAGTACTACCCTTGCTTGCCTTTGCCACAGTCTTTCTATTTCTATTTGTAGGTCTTTGTATTTTGTTATCTTCTCCAGTTCTTTCTTGTCTATTCTGCTGTCTCCAGGCATCATCATCATCATCATCATTATTATTATTATTATTATCTATAAGAGTGCTTGCTTTTCATCTAGAAGCTATGTATGTAACAGAGTTCATGCTTCAGTTAAACATGGCTACACTTTGGTTCATAGTTATACTTTAAAATACTGACTCTAGGCAGTTTTTATAAAGAATAAACCTTATATAAATTGAATAATATATCATTCATAAACTATATACTATTCTACAGTAGTGTGCACTATTCTAAAAGTATGCTTTGAGTCAGTGTGTATAGTCCCTCTCTGTTCCTCCAGCTTACTACATCTCCTTTCCTAAAAGTAGCTTAGATAAGTGTCTCTACATGTCTATTCCTTAAGCAGAAATGGAAAAATACAACATGTACATTTATTGTGTATCTCAGACTTGGTATGTTTTATGTCAATCTTTGGTCTAGGTCAGGGGTGTCAAACTGCTGACCCCGGCCAGATGCATCATGCTGAAACCGCGCCTACCCCATTGCCGGGAAAAATGGAAAAAAAGTTGTGATACCTCGTGACACGTTACGTGACGTTGCGAGTTTGACATGCCTGGTCTAGGTGAAAACTTTTAATAAAAATTCTGTAAAAAAAAAAATCCATATTGCCTGCTAGGCAAGGGAGGAGGGAGAAAGAGAAGTAAGAAAAAATGGACGCAGAGAGAAAAAAGAGAAATGTTTTTGAGAGGAATGAAGAGCAGGAATTGTCTTTTTGTTTTATTGTTTATTTAGTTTTGTTTTGCACTGGTTTTGGTGCTGGCAAGGATCTTGCTTCGGGGGGGGGGGGGGGGAAGTGGTAGGTTAAAATCTACACGCCTTAAAGCTGACAAGTTTGACACACCTGATTTATTTAATATTTTTCCTTTGGTTTGAGCTAATAACCAAAGCACAGAAAAAAACCAACAGAACAAAGTTATGAGATGTAAATGCTAGGCTTGGATTTAAATAATCGCTTGCTGGACAAGTCACAGCACCTCACTACAGTTAGTCCTAAATTTATAACCATTTGTTTAGTGACCGTTAAAACAGCACTAAAAAAGGTGACTTACTACCAGTCCTCATATTTACAACTGTTGCAGCAATCCCACTATTGTTACGTGATCAAAATTCAGGCACTTGGCAACCAGCATGTATTTAAATGGATGCAGTGTCCCAGGGTCATATAATCACCATCTGAAACCTTGCCAACCACTTCTGACAAGCAGAGTCAATGGGGGAAACTGGATTCACTTAACGACTGCAGGAATCACTTAAGAACTACTTAAGATTGCTTAACAATCTTGTCAAAAGAAATTGGATGTGATTCACTTAACAACTGCCTTGTTTAGCACTGGAAGTTCTTGCCCAATATGATTATAAGTCAAGGATTACCCATAGTTCAGAAAGTTAAGCAATTGTAGTTGGGCGTCAGTGGTTGCCAATGTGTTCACAGATCCTGCTCTCTGGGAATGTTCTGTCCTGTAAAACTAGTTCCTTCAATAAAAAAACTCCCAGTGTCCAGACCCACCCTTCCCCTTATGTGGAATTTCTATTTGCAAGGTTTAAAAAATAATAGAGTTATTTCTCAACATTTGTCTGTACAAGTTAGAATAGTGGCTAACCATTCTTCTCTACAAGCTTCTCCACCCTGGCAAAAATTCTGTCTTTTCACCCCCACACAAAGGGGGTGGGGGCTGGATAAAGGGAATCCAGACAGCTTGATTCAGAGCTGAAGCATCACTTGCACATAAATGCAGCACAAATATGCCATGGCTATATCT